TTATTACCACTCCTACTTCCGACCATAAACACCCTGCCACCTTGATCGCTTCAAGGATGTTAGGGGCACTTTGAATTTAGATGCCACCTATCAGTCTTTTTTCATTTGTTATCAGGATGCTCATGTTCGTAGAGGGGACAGTAACGATAAGTGAGCGAGCCATTTATAGAATTTCGATATGCTTTAGGGAGGATTCAAGGGAATGATGTCAACAACCATTGTTTTCCCTTGTGTTTATTCTCAATCCTGCGCCTTAGTCCGGTGCCCCACCTCAAACCCCGCGTTTTGAATACTGTTCTAATGGTATACCCCTAAAAACGAGCGCGCGTTAGAGTTCACACCAACTCCGTCCAGTGCCCTTTATCTGGGGTTCCAATGTACCCTGGAAGGTACATGACATTGAATGCGTCAATAAAATTATTGCAGTTTTAATATAAGTGAAACATTTTCTACTCAATTTGAACTTTCTTATAACGTCCGATTGCTTATCATGTATTGATTCATACCCGTCTTTGCCCTGTTTACCGGTAAGACCCGCAGCCATATGCCAAGACCAAGCCTGCCTAGCTGTCATCGCGAAGGCCGCAACGAAACTAGCGGGGTTCGTACTCTGACGCCTTACCAGTTCATATCACTCGTTATCACTTTCTTTCATCTACCTTCTTAGTCATTACCTCACCGCTCATAACGAAGAGTACAAATGAGTTACTGTGAATGCGAAGGGAGTAACCGAAATTGTAACATTGGCATTCTTGCACACATTATTAGCTCTTATCATTTGCTCTGACTTTTTACGCTTTCTGTTTTATTTCGGCTCTATCCGCACTACATAAGTTTCGGAATAGAGCAAAAAGGAGTGTTGTGCGGTGGCTCTGCACAGGTCTCCTTGAAACGCGAGAATCAGGGTTAAATTGATGTGGCGATTGCCAGCAGAGGGGTAGTTGGAGTGCTTGTCATCTTCACAATGAAAAGGCCATAATACCGGGATTGATGAACCCCCCCCCCGCTCGCCGCCATGAAGGAATTTGTACTCGCCTATCTGCTGGCTGATTCCTATGTGGTAGTGGGTTTGAATGATTCTGATCAAAAAAGTGATGTAAAGGAAGCTCAAAAATAGGTTCTAGAAAATTGATGTAATAGCCACGTAAAGCAGCGTATAAATGGGCTGACCAAATGCTCAGGTAGGATGATGTGAGCGTTACTTCGCAGAACATGTCCCAAGCCTACCATTCTTCTTGAAATTTTTGTAGCAGTAAATGTAAAGTGATTCCCTAATTATGGGACAACCTAGCACAAAAGAGGGCAAAGAATAAGATGCATATTTCTCTTATGGGGGTAGAACGGCGGAAAAAAAACACGGATCTCATGAAACCGCCGTAGCTGGAGAGGAAAGTTTTGAACATGACATTACAGTCATAAAAATATTCTTGTTATCTGCGTCAATAATTTCAGGATTCAGAAACAGTACAGTCGTGCTCAACATGTTATGTTCCCGGAGCTTGCTTCCCTGCAATTTATGCCTATTCCTGTGGACTGATCCCGCCAAGTCATTCTTTTCGAACCTGATTAAGAGATTGCAAACCGATGCCTAACAATGTCAGAGCACAGACAAGTGCCTGCTTCTGAGTCCTTCCTACTATGGCCATCACCGGAATGTGTAGGACACGGGTATCCCCAATCAACTTCGTTCTGTAAAACCATTCCATTCGACCGCGCCAACATTTCCAAGTTGGAAGGTTTAGCGTTGATCACAGCGTGCACTTTTCCTCAGCGCTCTGTTATTTTATCAAACGATTGCTATAAAGCAGATGGAGGATCCCCACACACTGACGCAAACTGGCGACACCTGCCGATTGGTCATCGAAGGCTTTTGAAAATGCCTGAATATTTACGCTGAAACTGACTCGCTCAACAAATACCGCGCGCTGTTTATTTTTCTGCTGGAATACAGGCTAGCGTTGATCAATACTTGAACGGCTGCACAAGTCTCTTCGAACTTTTGTACGAGAACTGTAAGTAAATGGTGTATCAGGTCAATGCTTTGAGAAATTTCTGATCGTAGAAAACTTGGTGCGTTCGCAGAGGTACTAAACTCCCATCTTCAGTGGAAACCAATAACTACTTGCACTTTGGTTAAGTCCGTAAACGTCGAACTCACATAACAAATGTGTATATTGAAATGTGGAACATTCTGAGGGACAGGTCTCAGCTCTAACGACAATTCCTCATGCCGTTGTCTGAACATGACCTCCCCCACCCATCCGCCCCCCCCCCCGACGTGGCGCAAAAAGCAAGGCCACAATATCAGAAACTACTCACGGCGATCAGATTCCTCTCAAGTTTATTGTGTAATTTATAATTTAAATATTAGATATATATCCCACCATCGACGGTGTTTGTTGCATAATACGCTACTCGCGAAACATTTGCGCTCACTCTTAGTAGCACCTTGGTCACCGATGTCCAGTTATGTATGTGGTATATCAAAATTTGCGTTGACAACATGACACATCCAATTGAACAACCAGCGGCTAGTTTGGCCGAGGCTCGAGACAAAGGCGTGGGAAGGCAGGGAATGTGCGGACGGACGTGTATTGCAGATCAAGCTAATTTTAAGCGCCTTTGTTGCGACACATTTTGAAAGGCCGGGAAGGGCCCTCCGCTTGTCTCACTAGCCCCCCCGCAGAACGCGATATGAACAGATAACATCGCGGTAATATCACTAGTTCGTCGCCTCCAAAGAAACGCTTACGAGCAAATTGTCGAAAAGAGTAGGCTCTGCTCTCCTGAGCGGGATTGAGCACTTCTGGTGTTCTCAAGCTCGTCGATAATGGTGGATTTATAATGTACGCTAGTAATGATTATGACAAGCATGTAAAGGTTTGTTCTGGGTGAAAAGGAAAATATTCTAGGATATTGCCTCTGCAAGCTTCTTACAATTGCGTCCCAATCTGCTTTGGCAGGTGGGAAATTGGATGTTGAAGAAGGAAAAATGCTCCAACCATGCTGATCGGAGCGTTAGAGACTTGCCTGTATCACAATGGCACGTGCATACCCCTCACTCGTCCCTTCAAACACCTTCGCGCCTCTCTCTGCCTCCGATGGATACTGGACGCTGGAATTCTCGCTCTAGCCTTATTAGCACAGAGGAAAGGCACTCACGTTAGCGCCGTGGCGCAGTCTAGCCCAGAAAACAAATCAAGGATCAAGAGAATAAGGGTTCTGTTCTATCGCTTCTCGCTCGGTTTTCTTTTTCGGCTGCGTACACGACATAACCTTCCTTCTTAGCGTTCAACAGCAATCCTTCGCCGTTCGTATCAGTATCTTTGATTCCTGGTGCGTTTTTGAGTGGCAGGCAGTGTGTTCGAAGCCTACTATAGCATACGTCTGCCATACTAAGAGTGCATAGACCGACCGCCACAGAAATAAAGACCAGCCGGCCTAAGCAATGGCGAACTGGTGCATAACTCAGTCAAAACACCTGCTGAAGGTTTGTGTTGGTTGATTTTTGTTTTCGTCAGTTGTGGACAGCACCTGTACTCTTGCAATTAATGCACAAGAATAAACTGCTTGATAACATAATAGGCGATTACAAAAATTGGTAGAGCTCTTGTTATCCTTCAAAGAAACATTTCCTGAAGATTTTCTTTCAGAATATCAATATCTTCCATGCTCAAGCCAAGCACTCGAAATCATCAAGCCCGAGAGAGCCTTCCACGCACCGCAGGTCTGGGTATATTGGTCATCTTGCTTCAGCAGTTCCTATGATAATCTGGATGCAAGAAATCGCGCGAAGAACTTCTAACCTTTAGCTAGTGAAGATTTTGACTTTCGTTAGGTTGGGAAAAATGTTTCCTAATGATATACCGGAACCACAGCAAGCATGAAGGTTGTGTTTTGAGGTTTCCCAGTGATTTTTTTTCATCATTGTTCTAGGAGCCTATATATTGGCAACTACATACATCACCATTTTCGCACCGACGAATGATGGCACATTTTGCGATCACAAGGTGTAGCTCTTCTTTTGAAGCGAAAAACAGCAGTGCCAAGTAGACAACAATGAGCAAAAAGGAAACTGCCGAAACATTCAAAGGGCTTCCTGTTAGGATGTGGAACGCTAGGACAAAGAAATATCGAACGACCATGGGAGAGAACAGATGAAAGAACATAAGGACAAGGACACTAGCGCAGAAGGTGGGGCCCACAGGGCCTCGAAGCTTCTAAATAGCCTCCCAATCGCAGGCCCCAAACACTTTTCCCGCGCACGTTCTCAGAAGGAAGCGTAACAGAACCCCGTGACACAGGGGGCGCCTACCTTACCGGAGCTCATTCTGCCGAGCAGTATACTTCTGGCTACCAATAGGGGTGCAGATCTTTTGCCGACGATACGCACAAATGCATGCCAGATAAGACCAGGCTAAAGCCATTTGAACCTTGGGATAATGATGCAATGGGATATACGATAATGATGAGTAGCCACCTGGCTTGACATATAAACTCCGATGTACGCTCGAACTCCTCGGTGCTCCATACGGATCATATCTGCTGATCGGAGGTAGTTGAACGGTCCCTCCTAGAAGGGGAACAAAGAAGGACATGGCCGGCTTTGAGATGACAGGCGCTCCAGCTTGGTCTCGTGGTGAGACGTCCCTGTTTGCCTTAGCAGCCTGGTGAAACCCAACCTCTCGCCTGCACGCGGCTTCCTTAGATGCCGACCTTAGATCCCTGACCCTGATACCCTTGATCATAGTAGACGTGGCCAATGACACGATCAGCACATTTTCATCAGACTCCGGACACCAGACGCGCGTGTTGTTACTTTTGAGCGACGAAAAACTGCAAGTAATCTGCTTTCTGGGTCTGTCCTACTACCACAGAAAGATTTATACATCTTTCAATTCTGAGACTTAAGCTGGTGCGGGGATTGCATTTCTGTGTTTTCTGAAAGCATAGTACAAGTACTGTCTAGTGTAGTCTTTTTCAGAGGCGATAAGCGAAGAATGTCAAAGAGACTCAGAGAAAACGTAAATTGATTTTTCCTTCTTTTTTACCTATTAAAGGTTATGAGACAGTTAACGCGTAATTAAGTAGGAATCAAAATAATCAACAACCAAACCCAATGATTTTGCCTTGCGACAATTTTAAGAAGAACCTTGCAAGGAGCGCGGTAGGCAAGATCAGCGCTACGTTTGCCCTAGTCTTTGCTACTGATCGAGCACTGAGCTATTGGCTCAATAGCATACGCAAAGGCGATAACAGATACAAAGTTCGACCTCATCACGGACCTCCAGTCACTTTGGATGAGGACCTTTTGCGCAACGAATAGAGAAGTGCATCCTGACGCTATTAGCAGGAAACCGTATAGCAAACACCTGGACGCAGCCTATGCTCCATGAGTCGATACCTGAGCGAAAGGGGCTGTAGTAGAATGGAGACTCGATGGAAACAGCAGGCATCGACTGATCATGTTCGAGAGGCACGCCTGACCATCTGCAGAAGTTTCATTCTTCGACCATATAGACACGACGTTCCCTAGTTGGTCACTAGTGCAGATGAGTCATGAGTCCACCACGATAACAACACACAGCCACGCCTTGTGGCTACCTCGCAGCCTGGACTCACCATCTCGACCAAAGCATGAGCTCTCTCGATAGATGATATGAACCACCGGTTCGTTGGATTCGTTTGGGTATCCTGTTTTGGGAACCATTTCACTTTACGCAGACAAAGCATCTGCGAAGGTGACCATGGAATAGCTCCCGAAAGTGGCTACAGCAGTGCGAGGAGAGACGGTTCAAAAAACGTCCAAAATCTCCTTCTCCGAAGGACTGCCCGAAATCACATTGCAAAGATAACTCGCCACGTTTCGAAGGAAACTGGCTGGAGCACGGCACCACATGTGTCGTATAGCCCTGACATTACTCCATCGTACTATCACCTCCTCAGCTCCCTGAAGCAGCAGCTTGGAGAGAAAACAGTCAGTAAATGCAACCACCCCAAAAACGACCTCTCCGAACTTTTCATTCCACAGCTCCATTCATTCTGGGAGGAATGCATCCATTCGCTCCCTAGCAAGTGGATGCTTATCAATGATTATGATGGTGGTACTTTTTTGATCAATCGTTTTTAAGGAAAGAGAAAACTTGAAGAAATCAAAGTGTTGAAATTCGGCCAGAAATTATGGATCAACCCAATATTTGCGTCGTAACCGAGCCGATTATGCCGATAACGTTCTTTCAGGCACAATGGACGCGTGCTAGCTTACTCGCTCCTTCTTGGTCTTGGCTGTGTTCTACTCAGTTCAATTTGGGCGCTTATTCGCCTACTACCGGTAGCTCTCATTCCAATTTGTATACCTCAACAGAAATAACTTATTTGGAGAAACACCATGGTGAGGAAGAGCACAATACAATCATATTTTCCAAATATACTCAAGTAAATTAAAATCTCCCTTGTTGAGGTTGCAAGACAAGAAGGCCGCAGAGGACAGTACAACGTAAGAATGTCTAAAATGAAAGAGTTTGCCTTTTTACACATTCCGAATCTGCTTTGTTTCTTCAGTGTTTTTCGCTTGTGGCTTAGCATTCGTAGCGGAACACAGATGACTTACCGATCCTATTTATTTATACGTGGCTAACGCCCTTTTTCCCGTGCTGCGTGCCCGTCAACTCTTTATGCCATCCCCCTCCCGTAATTTATCGTTCATGTCGCTTGCTTAGAACTTCTTTATGAATCAACACCACAACAGTCATTGGTTATGGTGTGCCTGAAAGGCAAGGACAGCGTCATTTGATCCCAGTATCCATCAAAGTAAATCCATTTAATTTACTGTGTATTGCTCTAGAAAATCGGGCGTGTCGATACTATGCCATCCCACTTTTCGTGTATTGCTCTAGAAAATCGGGCGTGTCGATACTATGCCATCCCACTTTTCGGCTGCTGCTTGCGTGCAGTAAGATATGTTCAGATATAAAGCTCATAGGGCTGATCAATTCCAGCTAGCTTAAATTGAAGGAGGATTCCACGATAAGAACGAAGGTCGAAGGAAGGGGAATTTATCTAGTGCAGAGACAGACGACCCCCCCCCCAAGGGAAAGGACTAACGCGCAATGCGCACCGAATGCCTCGACGATCTAGCATGGCCTTCCCTACGGCAGTTGTCCCGGCAGGCTATCTAATCACTCGTCGCAGGTCTACACACATATACGCGGCGAGTGATCGGATAGCACATAGAGCGTTGGCGTTGAACAGAGCGCAACGATGCGAGCTGCTCGCTTATGCTTCCTTATTGTTTTTTATTCTTCATTAATTTACGCATTCTTCTTCTTCGAATTATTCTTTACCAATGCATGAGGTGCATGGGTGGTTCCCATTAGAAAAGGAGACTGCTCTTCCAAGTAGCTCTATCCAACATTTGCAAGTGAGATCAACGTAATTCCTCAGGGAACTCATCGAGTCTTTCAAGAAAGCCCACAATGATCACACAAGCACTGAAGAGCAGACATTACGGGACCGTATGACGGCATTGGAGAGCCAAAATGAACAGCTTATTCGAGAACTCGACAAACAAAAGAGAACAACGGACTTGTTGCTGAAGCAGGTGAAACTAATCAAAATGTATTTACACAGTTTTATTGATTCTGATGATAGTGGCAAAGATTTTACAAACGTCACGCATTCAGTCACTATTATTCATGAAATTTTTCTGTCTGTCCTTTTCTTCTGCACGTTTGTCACCGATTCCGATATTTTGTGGAAATAATCCTGGAAGGAATGACTCAAGTTTTGGCATTGGTTGGGCATAGATCAGGGTGTGCCAAATAGACATGAACTGAAAGGAGTGCCCAGCCAGGTGTGCATGACGTGCACGGTAACATAGATCGAGAAGAGGAGCAATTCCGACCTGATCAGCGTGGCTACAGAGTAACGTTTTTAACCCATTGGCGACATTGCGGCTCGATGTGGGGACGCAGCATTGAGATAATTCTTCTCCGCAGGATTTCCAGAAGTGTTCCTATAGCATACTAATCAGGAAGGCGTTGTCATACTTACGGTATTAATGGTCAGTGCATATCTTCCTTAGTTGATGTTTTACACGAGCGGTACTTGAAAGTGATTTTCCAAGGCAAAGCTTGTTATTACTTAACATTTCACAAAGAGAGATCTGGATCCGACCCATTTACGGGTTTTAAAGTGGAGATTTGAAGTTTTTCTGGCATGCTCCAATATACACCCTCGGCAAAACCTAAAGATTTACGCTCATTTTGGAAGCGGTCTGCAATCATACGAAACTTGCAAAGTTCTAACAGTTCATGCTTCAAGATTCACATATTTTGGTGTGCAGGTGGATAGCCGCATTATGACACATGCTTGACATTTTTTCAAAATAGTGAGGTCATGTTTTAAAAAGTGGTGCTCACTCAAGCGAAAAATCTCCATACTTGTCTCGCAACAATGGCTGAAATAGCGGGCGTTGCAAAAGTTCTGGGCACCCTTAGACAAAATAATCCGTTTCTAAGACACACGCAAAATGTTGGAAGGTGTAGAGAATGCTAAGTGGGCTGATCCGGTCAGGGGTTTGCGAAATTAGCTCATGGACGGCGGGGGAGTTACCATTCAGACGACGCTCCATTCAAAAGCGTTTGAGTCGCCAGCCACACGTCATTGCCCATTCTGTGATACTCCTCTTTCCCAATATCGAGAATTGGGTTGCTGAATTCAGAGATACGAGGCGCGCACAAACTTTATACGCAGCTCAAGAGTACCGCTCATACCAGACAAGATACGCTATGGGTCTAAAAATCTCGAAGAAGATAAGAAATGGAAGACGAGGTCATTGTCGAGACCCTGGAATGGGTGCAGGTGGCTAAAGGAGCGATTGAAAGGGCGTTGATGGAAATTCTAATCAGATCAATGAATTATATTTGGATAGTAACTGAAATTGAATGGGTTTGATTCAATTAGGTACGTTTGAAATTGGGCGGAAGTGGTGTAGTGGCAAGTGGCACGCTTACCACGCGAGCGGTCCGGGGATCAAATCCTGGGTCGTGAGTCGCCCGGGCCAACCAAGCCTTCCATCCCTCCGGGGTCGGTTAATTGGTACCAGACTTGTCTGGGAGGATAAAAACACTGACTTGTACATCGGCTGGCCCCCGCAAGTCATTGTATAGGCCACATCGCATTCAAACGCCACTACGAATGTACAAATGGAAGTAGAAGGGATTGATCAACGGCAAATGCTTTATCTTTTATCCTTTACGCTTGGAATAGAAAATTTTCCATTCAGGTATGAATTAGACAAACTCCGGTTAGAGGGAGGCAGTCGTAATGCACTAAAAAATTTCGTCGACGGTATAGCTTGTTCTGGGTCAGGCTTCCATCAGAATCCGATCTGGAAAACCTCACTCACGGTCGCGTGCCTACAGCAGTCACGAGGCGTAGAACATTTCTTGCTCAAGTGCTAAATTCATCAGGTTCTTTGATTTCAAACAAAAAATTAAGCTAAAATTCTACGCTTTCATATCATCTCATAAATCGTTTGAAAAGTTGTCTGCTCTACAAAATAGCGTGTTTGGTTTCTACAATTATTGCGAAGTTTTGAATTTCAAGCCTGCGAAATGGGAGGTCCAGTCCGACGAAAACTAGCCAAACCGACAGTGAGCTCTAACTCTATTTCCCCTTAGGAGAAATCAATCAATAATGTACCCTTCACTTGCTCACTTGGTCAATGGCAAATGCTTTCTCCTTTATCTTTTTATGAGAGAAAACGCGGAATGGAAAGTTTCCGATTGGATCTGCCTGGGAGAACTCGCTGGGAAATGATTCTGCACTGCATATGACGAGTGAGAGCCAGCATTGAGCTCAAGTACTAACCGCGTCAAAGTGAAAGAGCTACACGTCGAGCGTTGAAGCAAATATGATGGTCCTTAGTATGCAAATTTCTTCATTTTTTACTTCCTTTTTTATCCAGTCATAACTCAGACGGGCGTTTTTTGGCGTTTCTGCAACAACAACTTTCTAATGATTGCCACGT